AACCAAGGTACATGCCCTTGACCGAAATTGAACCTGGGACCTTTCAGTCCGCAAGCTGAAGCTCTCTCCACTGAGCCAAACCAATCATGACTAAAAAACACATCTTAAATGAGCTAGATATTTACTCATTTATATTGATAAATAAGTAGTTTAACAAACATATGCTCAATTTATGGTTGATACCTAAAAATATAATTTTTCAAAGGGAGTCTTAAGTATTAGTAATGGGACAGGTTTGACTCATCATTTGACTTCAATCATAGCTAAAATAATTGCCACATATAAATCTGCTACATTTCAGGGGTAGGACCACAAGTCTACTTAATTTCAAATATTTATTTCATCAGAAAGAGTGGAGAATAGAACCTTTCATTCAATATTTAGAGAGAAAAGTTTACATCCCAGTAGCGGAATATGGAGATTGTTTAAATCTCTTTAAGGGTTTGGATTAGAGATGTCTGACATCAAATATTTTCACCTGAAGAAGGTATTATAATAGGACATTGAACCTCAAGGACAGTGGGGAGTTCTTGTTATGGAATGGGGTTGTTTTTATTTACCAGGAATACAAGAGGTAGAAAAAAGGAAGCATGGCGAAATTTGAATTCTTCACAGTTTAATATCAGTACTGAATCTTTCTAATGTTATTTTTTTCTTTCTAAAATCTTAGAGAGGGAAATGGATTTTGAACATAAGAATAATTAATCTATCAAAATTAACTTATTAGTAATTAAAATCATAGTTATTAACTATATATTATTTTTTAAATCAATCTTTATTGTTCATATTATTACAAAGGTTCCTCATTTCTTCCCCCCTCCACCAGGTTCCCACCCCACCCTCCGCCCCCTCCCCACCCCCATTGTCCTCATCCATAGGTGCAGTTTATGTTCAGTCTCTTCCTCCCTCCCTTTCCCCGATAGTAAATCCCTTTTCAGATAGTAAATCAGTTACTTAGCATTTTATCATATCAATAATACCTCCACATGCCCAATGATACACTTCACACAAAAGAACTATATATTATTTTTAATTGTAATATTATTTTATTTTGTCTATCCCCTTCCAGTGGGAGGTAAAAATGATTACTTAGTTATTACTTTACTGTAATTATCAAGAAACTTTCTAACAGATTCCATACTTTGCACACATCATTGCTTATAGTCCTCCTATAAAGAAAGTAATAGAAGAAAATTGAAGTTCACTGCAGTTTCTTGTCCAAAACCGCGCAGTTAATAGAACAAGAATTTGTTTGCCTTCAAAATCCAGCTAAGATGTTTTACAAATAAACCCTGTCTCTGTAGAGCAGCGTGAAAAGAAGAGAGGTTTTGTAACATATCAAACCAACTGTCAAATCCCAAACTGCTTTGTTTTCAGGCTGTCTAATCTAAGAACATATTCTTAACCTGCTTTCTTATTTAATTTATTTTAATGTATTCTATGTCATAAAGCTCAATGAATAAAAATTCAGTGTTATATAAAAGGTAAATTAAGAAAGTATTTACTGCATTAAAGGCTCTTGTTAAAACGCATTTCTTTATCCCCAGTGAAGTGTAGCTTTCCATTAAAGTTCAATGAGTTTATCTTCTTAGCATTGGCTAGTCTAGATACTGTCCCTATGACTGCAGAAATCAAACAAAAGACAAGATACAGTTTTGAACTTTAATGAATTGAAATCCAGTGATGACGGAAGAAACAAAAACAGTACCAAAAGAAGTAATAATAGAAGAAGCATACTGAAAATATATGTTGTTCTGGTGAAAATATATGAAACTCATCACCAGAATGGGACTTGAGGGAGAGGTGATGCTAATAGGAGCAAGGATAGGCAGGATGGAAGTAACTAGATCTCCTGTTCATGGACTCAGGTGCGCTTGGCAGGTACTCTTACTTGACATATGAGGTATTTACGATAAAGTGTTAAAGCAGAGTCTGGGAAGGGAGGTGGAGGCTTTATTTCTTTGAAAATCAGGGCAACCTGTTTCTGTTTAAATGAAAGTAATGGATGGTTTTTGACCTGGCAAGTTAACCCGGGCACGTGCCATTGACCAGAATGGAACCTGGGACCTTTCAGTCCACAGGCTGATGCTCTGTCCACTGAGCCAAACCAACTAGGCCCATATGAATTGTTTAAAAAACAAAAGTTATACAACACTTCTGAGTGGGTGTTAACTATATTTTTCTTGGCTAGCAGAGAATGAATGAATGTATGTTAAGTGAAGAGTTACATTATGCAAAGTCTATTTTGAGACCTGTATTTGTATCTGTGAAATAGAGTCAATGATATTTTAAGAGGAAATGATAAGGATCAATGGGCCTTAATGACGATGTCAATATAGCTAATGGGTTCAGACCATATTAAATCCTGGTAATAAAGAGCTATGGTGTGATAAACATTATTGCAATAATAAATATTGGGTGGCACTTTATCCTTTTCACCTTTATTGACTAAGATGGATAGAATATTATTTTTCCTTAAAAATAGCTTCTATCTTAATGACAAAAAAACCCACACAAAGCACATGCATATGAAAGGGATTATTTTTCAATGGGCTCCTGGTTAATCCCCATAAAAATGGAATTGTTTTAGAAAGGAAAGCTAAACTAATACTAAGTAGGCCACCAGCATTGTGTCTACAGTTTGTTATATGTTAGGATCTGTAATTTGTTTATATTATTTTATTTAATTTATAAATCTCTACACATTTGGTTCCATAATAATCTTCATTTTAAAGAAGAGACAATTTGGTAGAGAATTTAAGTAACTTGTCTTCAAATTCAAACGCTGGTAAGAATTTCTAGTTGCAGACAGCTGCAGTGGGAATGATAAAGGGCAAATGGGTGAATCCACCTTACGTTTAGGTATTAAAACCAAACAGCCACGGTGACTGAGCATGAGGTCGAGTAGATTCAGTCAGGGAATTATCTAGAATGGCTCTAAGCTTTCTGACTTATATATCAAATATAGAATTTTTCTTTTCCATGACAGAGGGGGCATGGGGAGGACATGTGGGAGGTGAGATATTGAATCAGGGCCTGGTATGCTGTTTAATCAGAATGTGAGATAGGCAAGAAGGTAGGTTCAATAGGCTTAAAGGCAGCAGTGGATAGAGATAAAGCTTCTGGAGTCATCAGTTACAAGGGAACCATGGAAGACATGTCTGGATGTATGGTATTGCCCAAAGAGTCTGTGTGGAGTAGAAGGTAAAAGGCCCACCATGTCTGACACCCAGGGGAACATCAGCCTTCTGGGGAGACTAAGACAGGAGCCCACAGAAGAGACTAAGAGTAGCCACAAAGTGGGAATCCTCAGTGCACACTCGATTGATTTCATACTAGAGCTCAGTAACATCAACTTCCTTGTGAAATGCCCATTAAACTATTTCTTGTTTGTCCTTGGTATATTAAGGGGCACATTTTGCATATTTCCATTGAGGGAATGAAAAAAAAAGAGAAAGAGAAGGTTGCATTGAAAATGGCAGTGTATGATGATGCATGATTGACATGGCTATTTGTATGCTTGTCCCTAAATGTATAAATACCTTTTGATGGAAAGGCTGGTAAGGTCTTTAAAGTGACATTTACCTTTGACCTGATCTTGGGGGGGGTGTGGAGATAAGTGGGGGAGAGTGCCTTTTATAGTTCTTATACTACTACTTTAATCCAGGAGCCATTCATAATTAGGGATGGTAGAAACTTTGATAGATTTATGCAAATGTACGCCTTTCCAAAAGTGGCTCAAGTAATCTAATGGAAAAATTAATGTTAAATAAAAATACTTTGGTAAACAGAAATTTCCGTCTCTTATGCAACTGAACTTCCAAAAAAGGACACATATGACTGAGACAAAGTAACTCATGTCTATTCAGACTTTTCATTACTAAAGAGTTATATCAGCCAAAACCAGTTTGGCTCAGTGGTAGAGCGTCAGTCTGCGGAATGAAAGGTCCCAGGTTTGATTCCGGTCAAGGGCATGTACGTTGGTTGCGGGCACATCCCGGGTAGTGGGTATGCGAGAGGCAGATGGTCGATGTTTCTCTCTCATCGACATTTCTAGCTCTCTCTCTCTCTCTCTCCCTTCCTTTCTGTAAAAAAATCAATAAAATATATTAAAAAAAGAGTTATATCAGTGCATTTGCTTCTTCATTGTTATAAGTCTATACTGTCACAAGTATAAATAGTCTATTTATAATGTCAATATTCTTTGCAAGAATATAAATGAAAATTACATAATCATCTCTGAAGAATTTAATTACAATAGATTAACCTGGAATGACCTGAAAGTTCCTGGTATTTCTCCCAATTTTAATGAAAGGTGAGATAAGAATATTTCAAAAGATAGTTAGTAAACATAGATTCTAGTTTCAAAGATAGAGTCTCTTCAATTACTTTTAGCCTCAGAAAAATATTAGTTTTCCTACTTCAAACTGAAGAAAAATAAAGCATGCATATTTGGAGTACTGTGAAGCTAGGGCTGATTTTAGAATTCATATTTGACCTAATCTCCTAGGGATAAATTTGAAGTACCAGTATTTTTAGTACACCCTGTTTATTATTGTTTATTCTAATATATGATTGGTAATTTGGCATATAAAGTTCTTTAAAACACCTTCAAAGAATCTTACCAAAAGCATTTTTTAAATTAGGTCTTCTGGTCTTATACTTCTCCCTGGCTTATAGGGAGGGTGTTTTGTTGTTTGTTTGTTTGTGGAGGTATTTACCAGATAAATGGGATTATGGGTGTTTTTTTTAATTTATTTCTATAATACTTGATATCAAATAATTTTTTGAACTCTTCAGTTACAATAGGAATATGTTAATTTTACTTAGATTTAAATTTTTGGCCATGGAAAGAGTTAATTACCTTCTTTCTAAGACCAACACTTTGTTTTCTCACTCATTTATTAACCACAAATCAGTAATAACTTATGGGGGGCAGAGGGGAGAAAATGGTCTGGTTGTTGCCTGCATCTAAAAATCTGATTGTTTTATTCCTTTAGGTTTTACTGGGATTTAATAATGCTTATAATGATGGTTGGCAATCTGGTCATCATACCTGTTGGAATCACGTTCTTCACAGAACAAACAACAACACCCTGGATTATTTTCAATGTGGCCTCAGACACAGTGTTCCTCTTGGACCTGATCATGAATTTTAGGACTGGGACTGTCAATGAAGACAGCTCTGAAATCATCCTGGACCCTAAAGTGATCAAGATGAATTATTTAAAGAGCTGGTTTGTGGTGGACTTCATCTCATCAATCCCAGTGGATTATATCTTCCTCATCGTAGAAAAGGGAATGGATTCAGAAGTTTACAAGACAGCCAGGGCACTTCGCATCGTGAGGTTTACAAAAATTCTCAGTCTCTTGCGTTTATTACGACTTTCAAGATTAATTAGATACATACATCAGTGGGAGGAGGTAAGACATCTATTTTACTTTTTAAAATCACTATGTGATCATATTGTTAATGATGGCTATTTTAAAATGAACGACTGGTCTATATATATATATATATATATATATATATATATATATATATTAGTTTGTGAAGTTGGAAGAGAAAATATTTATTTATTATTTGGTGTGTAAGTGATACATGTGTATCTTTAAAATATATGATTAAATATTAGATTTGAATGAACTGAAAAAAAATTTGTTATTTTAAAACTATTGTTTTATATTAATTTAGTTGTTTCCTAACAATTCCACTTTAAGCAAAAACTTTTTATTCAAATCAATGCAACCCTTCCTTCCTCATGAATGGCTCTCTCTTTTTTTTTTAATCTGATGTGAATGCACCAAAGACAATATTTGACAAAGATGTGGAGGGTCTATTTGCTAATCTAGTTTTATCATTAGCTCTAGGAGATAATCTGTTATATGTTTCCTCTAATATTGATATTTCAGAGAATTTGTGTTTGAAGAGAACAGATTTTGGGGGTGTTTCCAAGTTACACATGTGAAGAGTGATTTCAGCATATTAATTTTGCTCTTTGTTTTGCTTTGCATGTAATTAATTATGCTAGTTTCTCCCTATTAGTTCATTTCATAATACTGAAAAACAGCATACCCAGGAGGAAAATTAATACATAAGGTGGGTAAATGCAGTCAATCTGGCCAGTATTTTGCTGACTAGGGCCAACTTTGTTCCCAGGCAGTTTGCTGACTGGAGAGGGCTCAGCAGCGGAGTTTCTTAGATCTGAGGGAATTGTTCCCTTCCACACAAAGGAGTTTACATCCCTGCTCCCAGAGTCTGCGTATTAAACATCTTAACTTTCTTTTCCTTCCCAGAATTATCACCTGAGTTTTATTGAAGGTTAAAAATGCTTTGAGAGTATCTAAATCTGCATTCAAGAAAACAATATACTTTCTATAGATTGTTGCTTTACTCATTACAGCGATTCATTTTAGCATTTTTAGGATGATTGTGCATTGGAATTTAGGTTTAGACGTGTCGGAAAATGGAACTTCTGTGAGCACCAGCTCTGCTTCCTTTGGGGCCTCAGCCATGTTCTGTGTGTGCTTGTCAATGGTGTTTCAGTGCCTAGAATTTCAGGAAATGCCATGTGATCATGCACACTGCGTGAGACGTTGCTGAAGAGGCTGAGAATGGATGGTTCCTAAAATATGAATATGAGTTATATTTAAAATCCAGTGAAGCACATTTGAGAGATTGACTTCATCTGTGTCTATGTAGTACATTCTCTCTGAGATGCAATAAATGTTTGGTTCTCAAACTTTATTATACCAATTTGAAATTGATATCAGACCAAGATGATTATGGATAATATTGATAGCTAATGTTTATTGGGGAATTATTATATGTCAGGTAATATATTTGACTCTTTACTAAATCTTCTCGGTGACTCTGGTAGCTTGAGCAGATTCATAGTAACAGGCGGGGCTGGGATTCTAATCTTGGCAGTTCAACTCCAGAGGCAATGCCCTTAACCACAAAACCCTCTAGCTTCTTGCTGTAACCTATGTGCACTCTCTAATGACAAATATCTTAATATCCAATGATTTTATGTATTAAATACAAATTGTAGATGAATAGCCCAATTGAATAACCAGGAGGTCATGGTTCAATTCCTGGTCAGGGCACATGCCAGGGTAACAGGCTGGATTGGTAAGGGGTGTGTGGGAAGCAGCCCATCAATGGTTCTCTTGCATCATTGATGTTTCTCTCTCTCCCTCTCCTTTTCTCTCTGAAATCAATATAAATATATTTAAAAAATGTTGTTGAACATTTACCTCTTAAAACATGATTTCACAAACAATATTAATGGCTAGCCCTTGTAATGAAGAGTCACTGAGACAAATGCCCAGTCAGTTAAAAATGCAGTGGGCAGTGAGACTGATTTTCAGCGTCTTGTAGTTTTAACCCAGTTACCCTAGAGAACAGCATCAGGGGGAACAGATGGTAGCCTGTCGGATGAAATGGCAGGCCACGTGGGCACACAGGACACTTGCTAAAATGGATGTCCTCCGAGGTCTGGCAGCGGTCACAGGCACCTGGATTTGTGTACCTTGATGGTGCTGTATAGATGCCATGCTCTCGGCCACCGTGACTGAGAAATGCAATTTAGTATACACTTACAGGCATTTGGTAACCAAACACACTCCGGCCAGAGCTGCGAGTTGGCAGGTTCTTTTGTATAAATAAATGACCTTGATGATAAATGAACCATAAGCTCGTTTAAGTGAAGAATGTTTCCTTGATTATATGCTACCTTCCTATGATATCACACACATCATGGATATCTAATGCCTGTTAGTAATCCTGCTAAACAGGGAAGAGACAGTCATGACTAATTCAAAATTTAATATGTATTCATGACCTCACCCCCTACATGATTAAAACCAAAATCACAAAGGATCTTACATGGTTCCAGACTGGCAAATCTCTACCTGGCTTTGATAAATGCCACAAGGATGTGTTTACAAGTAGGAACACAACAAATAGCTTGGCAGCCGTCGCCCTGGGAGGGTGTAGAATGAGACTGTGCAGGAAGATGTGAGCTCACCCACATGTCTCTGAATTCTGGGTGTTTGAGTACCAAGCTGGCTGGTGCTAAATTCAGCAAATTTGGGGAAGTAATGCGTGAAGTCTGGAAACTGCTCTTGTTCTAACTGAGTTATTTCCAAGTAACACAGCTGCCTTCTATAGGAACTGCTTTGGTCTTCAGTGATACATGTTTTGTGTGTGTGTGTGTGTGTGTGTGTGTGTGTGTGTGTGTGTGTGTGTTTTCTGGTCTGAATTAGTTCATCTGAAAAACAACAAGAAGCATCAAAGCCAGATAAATTAGAGAACTTGTGAATGAAATGGAGAAACTTTAAAACTTAGTCCTTATGTTACTATCATGACTAAAGTTGAATGCCGTGGCTACTGTACAACAGATTTGTGAAACATGTGGTGTTAAGAAGTCAGGAGGGACGAGGTTTACATAAGACAATTATAAGATAAGTGGCTTTAAGATGCAAAAATAGAAATCCCTCCGCGTGATATTTTCAGTGTAAAGTTTCATGACACTGCATGTATATATCGTCAGGTGAGGTAAAAACCTGGAACAATTATTTCAATAAATCAGGCCAGAAAGTGCCTCTTTCTCTCATCTCTAGAAAACTGAGGTGTATCTATCTTATAGTTTGGCTTTCTGAAATTCATTTCTTTCATTCGGCATTGATTTATCATTCTATTTCAAATAAAGTCAGTGACCCGTGGCAGAATGCTCTACTGTAGCCTATCACAGGGTAACCCATTCTTGGTGATCCTCCTGAGGGAGACATATGGGGAGGAAATCATTGGAAATTAAATGGAATATTAACAATTGTTAGCCCTCGAAAGCCACTGAAGAGATAAAGGAAGATTAAGAGTTTAGTAGGTGGGAGATTATTTAGTTAGTGAAGGTGAAGAGTCCTAGGAACGTTGAATGCTGCCCGGCCCATTTGGTTGTTGTTTTTTTGTTTGTTTGTTTTTTGTCGAAATTGGATGATCTCTGACATTATTAGATATTGGAAATAGCAATTGAAAAGAAAAATACTATTCTATAGAGGTTATCTTCTTTTAGGATTGAATGCTGTGGGCAATGAACAAAATAGTGTGAGACACGCATGATGCTTGTATCATAACTAAGCCTTTGGAACACATATCTATAATGTTTGCTCTCTTATTCCTCATTTACTATTCCTTCAGCCTTCCTTGCATAGATTTCAGACCCATGGCAGTGAACTAAATCCATCCTGGGGCAAGAAGGAGGGCTTGTGGTTTCCATCTTTGTACACGTCTATAGCAATTTCGGATGAGTAATGTGTCTGGGACGTCACAATTTTCTGCAAGCAATCGATATTAGATTTTTATGCAGGCTGAGAGACAAATTGATAAACAGATGATGTTTAACAGTGAGAGTTAATCAGGAAATTTATTCCACAGGGAGCTAATTCAGATCGCAGTTTCTGTCTTTGGTTAATTTTAACATTCTATCTGGTTGATATTAGAAACAAACCCTTGCTGTGAATTGCCTCTCTACAATTACACAACACATACTGTAACTACTTCTATTTTTTAAGTATTCCAAGGCTTGCCATGAGCAAGCACCCTTGTTTCTCTAAAGCTGCCCTCGTTGGGGTGTAGAGAACTTACTTCCCTGTTGCCCATCACATCAAATCTGTGTTTCTTCGCCGTGCCTTAAAGGCTCCTCAGCCAACCAGTCCCTGTCTCAACCCTGTCACTTCCTATTTGCACCAAAGGACTCCTTCCTGATTTTTGTGTCTTTTTTTGTTTTTGTTTACAATGCCTCTTGCAGAGAATGGTTCTTTCTGCTTCTGTAACTTTGCATGTGCCACACCTCAGATTTAGAAAGCCTTTCTTTTTCCATGACTCCCTTAAAAAAGTAGACTTAAACTTATTTCCAGAAAAAAGTTTACATTGTCGGTCCCTCTACTGTGAGCAGTTCTACTGGCTCTGCTTGCATTTGTTCTGTGATTGCTTGGCTGCTGACGCTTGCTTGGATGCATGTTCCTTTTCTCTTGATGAACATAGATGTCTATGGGGAAGAGTCAGTGCCAAGTTTTGCCATTGCATCTGCTTGTACACAGCTACAGAATTCTAAACACAGAGGCTGCCTGTCCACTAGCAGTTCTCCATGCACTAAGTCCATGAGGTAATTGCAAGGGAATATCTATTCTTCACTCCCAAGCATGGACTAAGTAGCTTCTGTTTGCAGATACTGCACGTAAGAATACAAAGCATTCCCCAGCTTTGTAGGAAATATAGACATAATCACAGATGGTGTGGTAAATGGTTGCATAAAGAAGGGAGTGATGCTGGCTCGTGTGGCCCAGTGATTGAGTGTTGATCCGTGAACCAGGAAGTCATGGTTGGATTACAGGACAGGGCATATGCTAGGGTTGTGGGC